ACAAAGATTACTTAGGAATAAATATATAAAATCCATCTCTTCCTGTCTCATTGGTCTTTCTCATACGATTTCCTTGAAAGACATGTCTATACATTTAATTGCTTGGGGTTTTTTTTTTCTTTTTGTAAAACAAAAGCAAAAACAATGTCTCTCTCTCCTCTGCCTCACTATGGGATTGATACAACCAAGATTAAAAAGCTAGTTGCGGGTATAGATGGAAGAAATTACAGCTTTAAAACCCTAAATCTCTGCAGTCTGAATCTGATGGGAAACAAAGCAGTGTATCTTATATGGTGATAGTAAAAAGGAAGCATTGTTCGTTCCTGGATGAGCTCTTTGCATTATCTATGGCTGGCTTGTGACTAAGCCTGTCGTCGGAATCTCTTGAAATTCCATCAGTTCCTTGACAGCCCTCAAATTCTTAACCTCTATGTGCCTGAATTTCCTTACTTTGAGGCCAGTCACGAGACTATGAGGGCCCTTTTGTTTTTAAATGTCATGGAACTCACTCCCTCTTTGCCTATTTTTACTTTAACGTTGTGCCAGGATGTGTAGTTTGCTGGGATTATTACTTGGCTTTCCTTCGGAACAGCTGTTCCTTTTCTGCTTGTTTGCATGTAATCTGGTTGATCTTCATGGTATAGATCAAGAAGATTTGCAAGACAATTCTGTAATGCCAGAATAATTATTCTCCTAGAAGGTGATTGGGAAATCAGACTTCTTGAGGCCAAAGGGAAAGAATGAGCATGTAACTTCCAGATTAAAGAAGTACAGAATATATGGGCAAATATGGCAGAGACCATAGTAGGCACCGGGGTCTTCCTGACTTCCTCATTGAAGATGTGCAGTAGGCCACTTGGATAGATTCATTCTAGCTTCATTTTCCCCCTCCCTCTAGGAGCTGGGAAGAAGCAGCTAGACCATGCAGTCCTCTTGCAGGTGATTAAGGAACAGCAGGTACAGCAAAAGCAACTGTTAGATCAGCAGGCAAAATTGCTGGCAGTGATTGAGGAACAGCACAAAGAGATCCACCAGCAGAGGCAAGAGGACGGAGGCGAGGAAAAGCCAAAGCAAGGTATATACCTCCCCACCCCCACCCCAATACACAGGTATTATAGAAAGAAAGTTGCTTGTGGAGCTGTTATAAAAGCTGCCCAGAGAAATGTCCCTTCTCCAGTGCCCCTCCCCAGGCAATGAGTTAAAAGCTGTCTTCATTCTGGAAGCCAAGACAGCAGTCTGCCTCATAGTTTGAAAATACTAGCATATATATACCTGGAAATGACAAAGGAGCGGGGAGTCAGTGAAATAGAGGGAAAATGATATTAGAGTTTGAAGAACTCTCCTTGCACCCCAGCACTTGTTCAAAACTATAGGAAGACTATAAACTATAAAACAGAAGGCACTGCTTAAGACATATGCTTACATCTTATTTACAGTTTCAGAATTAATGCAGTAACTATGGTAGTCAGACATAGTAGGGAGGTTATTGAGTGACTCTCCAAGGGCCTCTTTGTAAACTATTTAGTTGATGGTAGAGAGATTTCTAGTTTGCTAAATTGCATATAAAATAACTGAGAGCTCTCCATTTCTCTTTGCAACAGAGATCCAGCTGGAACATGCCCTATCTTTGCCCAGGAATAAAGAGAGAGAGGATCACCTTGAAAACAAAATTGAAAATGCTGCAAAGAATATACCAAGTGATAACCTGGGTCATCCTTTGCATCTGCTTGACAACCAGCCCCAAGATGGTGATGAAATTAAAAGACAGCAGGCCACTGGTCCAGGAGAAATAAAGTACATACCAAACAAATTAACTGAAGTTCCCCCTAAAAACCTTATAGCTCATATAAATGATGATGAGAAAATTGCACAACACCAAGCTGGAAAAAACCATGGAGAGGAGTTAGAGCCAGTCAGGAGTGATTCACAAATAGCTAGGCCTGATGGACACCACCAGGAAAAGCAAGCCAAGGCTGAAGAGTTGAAAGGACAGGAGACTCAAGTGGCAGAAAATATTGAGAAAAGAAAAGAGGCCATGAAAAGGGCTGAAAGCCAAAGAGAGATACCAGAGGTAGCCAACATCCATGGTGCTGTGGGGAGGATTCCTCATAGAGCCTCTGAGAGAGTGTCCCTTGTCAAGGAGATTAAAAAAGAAGACATTCCCCTTAAACCAAAGATTGCTGACAACATACCAGGGAAATTGGAGATCCAGGAAACTGCAAAAGCTGTCCAAGGTGGGGAAAGACAAAGCTTACCTTTGGACCAGGTTGACAGATTACAGGGCCAGGGCGCCAAGAGTAAAGAGAGGATGACCACTGGAGCCCATAGTCCACAGCTGAGTAATGCCAATGATCCAGGCCAGGATTCAAAGAGAGAGCAGAGGATCCCAGAGAGCTTGCATGAATCTAACAGTGACCATGTCTTACAGCCAGACCTCATTAGGCCTGAGTCCAGGGATCATGAAAAGGCAAAACCCAACAGAGACCTCAAGCTACAAGCTGACCTGGACCTGCGCCGCAGAAGACGAGATCTGGAAGAAGAAGAGGCAGGAGGTGTAATAATTGGACTTAACCCCCTCCCAGATGTGAAAGTCAATGACCTCCGTAGTGCACTAGAGACTCGGTTAAATCAGGCAGCCGAAGGTGCCCAGCAAGCCCTTCATAGCCGACAGATTAAACAGATACCAGTGGTAGAAGAAGAGGTGTGAGAATCTTTGCGCTATGGGGAGATGTAGGAATCTGCCAGCTGCTTAAAGGTATCTGTTACGCAGCTAACTGCCATTGGTATATAACTGTTGGCAGTCCAGGTCAACTAGCTCTATCTGAACTGAGCCCTGATGACTGAGCATTGTTGTTTGCTCTGGGGGAAAGAGGAATTTCCATGCTGCCAGCCAACTTCATACTTCAAAACTGTTTCTCCTCACTCTGCTGGTAGCTTGTGTGCGAAACCCAGGTTCACCTACTTTCTGGGTTCTGAAAATGCTTTATGCTTGCCACCTTTCCAAAGAAGCATGTATGCTTTTATTCTTGCTCAGATACCTTTAACTGTTTAATTTCTGCGTGTAGGATTAGCGCATTGTCTAATTTGTCATTTTATCTTGTTGGAAGCTCCCTTTATGGGTATGTGGATGTTAGCCTCCCTTAAATTAATGTTTGGATTCTTCTGTTCTACCATTTGCTAAATGGGTTGATTTGCTTTTGGAAATGGTTGCAAGAAGATGAAAGAGGTTCTGTAAATGTCTGAAAGGGGAACATCTATTCAAGGATAAATTCTTAGGAATATGGAGCTGATTACTATCAGATGCATCCTTACAGCAACTTACAAACTGCTCTTATCTTCTTCAACCATAGGTCCAGTACTAGCAATAATAAAAGTTACCTATTCTTTCCTCTTCATTCTTGGTTATCAAAATGTAGGTTTATGTTTTTAAAACATACCTATCTTAAGTGCATTATGGAACCATACTGTACATAAAAGCCTTGCAAGATACTTGCTGCAAGAGAAAGCAATTGTGAAAGTTTAAATGGCATTATTTCAAGGGGGCACTATCCAAGTAGGCCAGCTGACATCTACCTCTTTCATCCATTTTATGAGTACATATAGGATAGCTTAAAGCTGTCCCCCTATATCCCTTCCAGTTCTTCGGAAGACTACAGTATGTGAAATCTGTTAGTCCTGTCCTTGAGTTGGCAAGCTTCTACATTTGAACACAATTGGTTTGTTCTAGGTGTCCTGATAAGGATTGTTATTTCTGTTGTTAACAAATGATACAGCAAAATTAAGCTCTTGACATTTGAATATCCCTAACATCCAAAGATATTTGCCCATCCAATCTGAGATTCTCCAGAAATAATGGAATTTGGCTATAAACAGCTATCCTCAAGTCTGTTACCAGTTTATTTTCCTAGAACAAGAGGGAAAAATATCAAACAGACATTGCTTCTGGAGTATAGCTTGGCCTGCAACATGGAATGGAGATTGGGGGGCAACGCCATTCTTGTATCTTGCCTGTGAAATGTATTGCTATATTTCCATTCAGGGAGACAGAGAAATGTGGCTGGTACCACTTGACTATTTCAAGGGGCATTTTGCCCTGTTACAAACATTATTGTTCTAGCCTTTCCTCAGGCACTTCATTGGTCCTGCTTGACCATCATATTAAACTGTGATTTTAGGTGATTGTAATGAGCTGCAGAGGACCTTCAGCTTATCTATAGTCTCCTTTCAAGCCTCCGCCACCAGAGGCCATATGGTGTTTGGAAGCTTGAGCTTCTGTTTGGTCATATAGAGTTTGTCATATATCATCTCCAAAATAAATTATGGTCCACATGCATCAAACTATGGTTAGCACTAACCAACAATTTAGATGACATAAGTCATGGCCAAATGGAAGCTCGAGATTCCAAACTCCTTGCAAGCCATACTTGAGAATAATATGTGTGCTGTAATGTATTGTCATCACACTAAACCAGGAGTAGCCAAGCAGAGTTTCAGGCATTTTGGACACAAATCCCATAAACTCAATCAGCATGACCAGTGATTATGGGTGTTATAAAAAATTTGGAAGACATCAGCTTGCTTACTCCTGTGTTTAACTATGGCTGAGTGCAACCTTTCCTGACCTAGGATCCCCAGATGTGCTATTCCCTGACTTGGCTGGGCATGTTAGAAGGAAGGGGGTTTTTTAGGTGGGGAAAGGCTGATTTAGTATGATATTCTACATGACCATTGAATGGTGCTGCCCAAAGCACAATTAATTTGTGGTGGGATTGCTGTCAATTCAATATGTAAATATGATTTACTTTATTTTTTGTAAATATCAGCCAAATTGCTTTAATACAAAGGGCTATGAAGCTCCACACCCGGTCATGGTTTTTCTAGCCACAGTGTGAACATATGCTGTAATCGAAGGACCAAAGATACTTCTGGCATTCCTCCATAGAACAACTGAGTTTTAAACAATCCATCTCCAAGCAATTTCAAAGAAAGAGACAGACAGAAGGCAGCCCTGGACTTCATCTTGAATTCCTCACTTGCTGCCACAGCAAAATTTCCAGTTTGCAGTGTTGTTCAATGACAAATCACAGGGATTATGGCCAACCTGCACAAATTAATAAAAAAAAATTGAAGCATTTTACCAGAGCCTTTTTTTCTTATTGGAAATAGTTGGTTTATACAACACAGGACATCAAGACTGCTTACTTGTAGACAATATGCACATTTGAGGGACTGTCTGTTGATCCTGATCTATTTTCTAGCTTTTACACTTGTTTGTTCTCAGATGCCACCCACAAAACTAGCACATTATTACAGAGCTTCAGTAGTCTATTCAGCCACAATCTTATTAACCACCTTAATGAAAACTACTTGTTCCAAGCCAGATCAAAATACTTCACACAATCAAATAATATTCTGAGACACAGTTGTAATGAACTGGCAGATTTGTAAAAGTTACTGACATATGATATTTAATATTTTCACAAACATCCATTAATAAAAAGGTAAACATTTGTGTTTTGTGACAGAAGTTGCACTCTAGAAATCTGCCTGATATTTGACTCTAGGTTTGAGCAGACTTTGACAAATCCTCTAGGAGTTTTAGAAACTCAGGAACCTTAACATTATGGAGGCCTAGTTTTCCTAAGCAACCAAAAGCTGCAGCTTTGCCCCAGTCTTTATATTTTTACTAGGCAGACTTCAAGCTGTTCTTTGAAACCTTGGCACATATACGCAAACACATTTTGCTCTTTAGGGAATTCAACTGATTAGATTCTTTTCCCCCAAAGCTTTAGTGAGGAAACTCATATTCAGAAGGGAAATCAAATATTCAAAGTTGCAAGTTTCAGGATTTTATATATGCCATAACTGAATATTTTTGGGTAAATGACCAATGACTGCTAGGGAGTCAGCCACTCTGGGTTTTCGTTGCCCCAGATTTTCAGGAGCTGGAATTAACAATATAAAGTAGCTTAAGCAAGATCTACAGGAGTATCCTACTTTATTCCTGTAAATAAGAAGGGAATTAGTAAATCCTCAGGGCAAAATTGGTGCTAGTAGCTAATTTAACAGACACTCCACTGATAGGAAAAGGCTGCTGGTGTATTAATCTCATATTTTATCAAAAGGGAACCTGACATATTTGCTAATTGAAATTCTAACATTACAAAAATCTGAATTAAATGTTATTTATATACTTTCTGGCTTTATACTGCTTGGCCTTGATCTTTGCCTCTTGCCACTCTGACATATTATTCATTCCATGTTTAAATTAAAACCCACATGCACTGAGTCTTATGTGAAAAAAAAGTTTTCCAGAATGTGCTTATAGTATACATATGCATAAATTGAAAAGCCATTAGCTCTCGGCACATTGGGAAATATTCCATTTTTGGACCTTGATATATGACAGATGGAAAAGTTCTTTATTCTTCTGTGCTGAAAACAACTATAAATCCCAGATTTGCCACCAGTGTCCATTTCAAGTCTTTACATTTCTTTTTGCCTGCAAAGGAAGATCAATTCTGTTAGAATTAATATTAAGGACTACAGAAATATATTTACATCAATGTATCCTATAGCATAAGGCCATTGGGATTTTGAAATGGATCAGTCCTCTACTATCCCTCATAAATACCTAGATGCTGTGCAAAGCAAATATGGTATACCTAAAGACACAGATTCTCCTAATTTCTATATTAAGAGGAATGAGCTTGTCCCAAAGAAAATCTCACACTACTTTTTAGTTGTTTCTTTTAGAAGTTTCTTTGGTCAAACTTTACAAACAATAACGTGAATGAGCAAATGCTTACAATAGCAGCAGGAAGATTCTCAGATAAGGCCATATGTTTATGTCAGGTCATGTGGTTTTCTAGCCGCAAGGATGATTAGTAGACCTCTTCTCAAGCCTTGAATTTCAAATATGAACAGGTGCTTTCTTACCAGCACAAAGGTTTTTGGACACTCAGAAAACTACCCACCCCCACCCCACAAGTTTCTTCTGCCAAAGATGCAGAAACAAAGCCTAAAAGCTGTAAACACACTCACAAAGAACAGATAAGAACCAACGATTGATTCTGTGTGGTAGTCCTAAAAGCAGAAGCAAAGCTCTAACAGCTGTTGATGCCATTTACTACTGTACTTCCTTTCAATTTGTAGGTTCTACAAATTACTTTGCGGCAAGTGTAAACTTCTGTTTTAATATGGGAATGGAGAGAACTTAAATATCCTATGCTTGTGAACTAGGATTATTTCCATGGTTTCTTGATCAGGCCTCTAGATTTCTAGCTACCAAAAATAGAAAAAGGACAACAGCACATTTTTATGTACTTCTGTCTTTGTAGCATATTTTGTTCCTAACAGGCTCCCAAGAGAAAAGTTAACCATGTGAAGTGAAAAACAAAATGCAAACGACTCACAGCCTTTGTGAAGCAATCCATCAGCACTGCAAATTCCTTGGCGCACACATCCTTTCTCAAGTTTCCATGTTCGGTTGTATTGGAAGCAATACATTTGCCATAAACTGAGGCCTGCAAAGATCAGCTCCAATTAGATACAGCTTGTATTTAAGACTCTGGTCAGGCCTAGGCAGGTTTTATCTCTGTAGGCTTTCACTGCAGTAATAATCCAGTTGCTTAGGAATATAAAGGTATTCCCAGAGACCTATATTCTTCAATAGGTCACAGGGAATAAGTCAACTAAGTGTATATGTAATAAAGTTATAATACCTTAATTTTAGGATATACAAATTTTGATTTTATTATTACTTTTCACATGTCCAAATTTTTTATTTTTCTGATTGTAGCTTAAAACATTTTCATAAGCCCCAAAAGTTTAGCAGGCCCTAGGCACTGTACCTATGGGATATGATGGGCATAGTGATGTACTATTCTGCTGTGGGCATGTATTCATTCTCTCCAATTTCTTACACTTTGGCTTTTAAGCCATTTAGAAACTTCTAACCTCTGCTAAACTTTACTCAAAGAACATTGTTAACTCATACCATTCTCTCTTATTCAGACCTTATAAGACCATTTACTCTGATAGGAGACATCTGTACCCCAGCACAGCATAGGCAAACTACACAGTGGTCTCCCTCTAAAGGAGGAATACATACAAATGTGTGCCTGCATACAACAGTCCAGAAAGGGACAGGATCCTGAATAGAGAGCAGTCATGCCTTAAAGGAGTATATGTATTATGTATTTATGGGACTTATACGGCCGCCTATCGCACATGACTCTAGGCAGCTCACAACAATCTTTAAAAACACAGATAAAAACAGACGTGCCCATCCCCCAAGGTGCCAGACCAAATAGCCTCCCAGCTCAACCCCCGTCTTAGCCCAATGCTTGGGGGAAGAGCCAGGTCTTCATGGCCCTCCAGAAGTCCAAAAGGGTAGGGATCCCTCAGAACTCAGGTGGGAGGCTATTCCAAAGGGTGAGGTGGCCACCAAGAAGGTGCACCTCTGAGGTCCCATCAAGTGATGACATTTAAGGGAGCAAATCTGGAGCAGGCCCACCCTATCTAACCTAGTAGGATGAGCAGATACCCTCAGGGAAAGGCAGTTCTGCCAATAACCCAGCCCTGGACCATGTAGGGCTTTAAAGGTGATAACTAGCACTTTAAATTGCACTTGGGCAGCAACTGGGAGCTATTGCAGCTCATGCAGCAGTGGTGTTAATCGGGTAATGGGTTAATCAGGTAACAGGGCACCAAAAACTCTGCATGCCACTGCATTCTGGACAGTCCACTTGCAGCTTCTGGATGGTCTTCAAGTGCAGCCCCATGTAAAATGTATTGCGGTAATCCAAACGGGAGGTGACTAACGCACGAATGACTATGAGCAAAGTCCAGGAATGGGCACAATCGGCACACAAGATGATTTTGTATAAAGCACCCCCCCCGGCCACAGCTGCCACCTGCTTTTTCAGGAGGCCCCCCAAATGTTACCCCATCCAGAGTCAGAGATGTCAACTCTCCTGATCCCGGGGGGGCCAAAGACCCACAACCATTCCATCTTGCCTAGGGATGAGTCTCAGCCAGCTCCTCCACATCCAGCCACCAGACACTGAGCCAACATCTGAATAGCATCACTTGCCCAGCATGGGGTAGAAATTTTATTTATTTTATCCAATTTGTATAGCCGCCCATCTCAAACCAGTGACTCTAGGCGACGAACAAGCATAAAAACAATTAAAACAAAACACAATACAAAAAAGAAATTAAATACAGATAGCAGCCAAAAGGTATTATAATCCATCAGTGTCAACATAACTAGGAAATATAATTGGGTATCAACAGCATACTGATGATACCAAACCCCATCTTGCCAGATGTCCTCTCCTAGTGGCTTCATACAGATCAGTGTTTTTCAAACTTGGCAACTTTAAGATGTGTGGACTCAACTTCCAGAATTCTCCAGCCACCATGGGGAATTCATGGCTGGAGAATTCTGGGAACTGAAGTCCACACATCTTAAAGTTGCCAAGTTTGAAAAACACT